ATATATATATATATAATATATATATATATATATATATATATATATATATATATATATATATATATATATATATATATATATATATATATATATATATATATATATATATATATATATATATATATATATATATATATATATATATATATATATATATATATATATATATATATATATATATATATATATATATATATATATATATATATATATATATATATATATATATATATATATATATATATATATAATATATATATATATATATATATATATAATGTCGTACCTAGTAGCCAGAACGCACTTCTCAGCCTACTATGCAAGGCCCGATTTGCCTAATAAGCCAAGTTTTCCTGAATTAATATATTTTCTCTATTTTTTTTCTTATGAAATGATAAAGCTACCCATTTCATTATGTATGAGGTCAATTTTTTTTATTGGAGTTAAAATTAACGTAGATATATGACCGAACCTAACCAACCCTACCTAACCTAACCTAACCTATCTTTATAGGTTAGGTTAGGTAGCCGAAAAAGTTAGGTTAGGTTAGGTTAGGTAGGTTAGGTAGTCGAAAAATAATTAATTCATGAAAACTTGGCTTATTAGGCAAATCAGGCCTTGCATAGTAGGCAAAGAAGTGCGTTCTGGCTACTAGGTACGACATAAATATATATATATATATATATATATATATATATATATATATATATATATATATATATATATATATATATATATATATATATATATATATATATATAATCATCAAACTACTTGGTCATTCTCCAGCCGTGTGGCGTCCTTTCACACCATATATCACTCACGGACTAACACAGAATTTCGCTCCTCACCATCTTCACTATTCCTTTCCAGACGTCCTCTGTGACGTGCCCCCCCCCCCTCCCCTCCTCTATCCTACCCAGGGGATCTTGTTAACTATCCCTCCCCCCCCCCTCCCTCTCTTTCTCTCTCCCTCTCTCTTTCTCTCTCCTTAAAACCATCAAACAATATTTTCAACTCTTGTACTTACGTAATGGGTTTTAATCGAATTTTGTCGATTTCCACTTTTCAGTTTCTGTATTCTTCTGTCTACGTTTCTGTTGTTTGGTACGTTTCTGGATCTAATTTTTCTGTTCTCTCTTTTTCTCCATTTATTTTCTGTCTATTGTGTTTTTTAATTTAGCTCTCTTTGGTACAGAGTTGAACTGTGTTACATACAATTATCTTCAGACCAGTGTTGATTCTACCAGGGAGTGAAGTGGATGATTGTGCGGTCATTCCCACTCACAGATGAGATCATTCCCACCCACACCTGAGGTCATTCCCACTCACAGATGAGATCATTCCCACTCACAGATGAGATCATTCCCACTCACAGATGAGATCATTCCCTGTCACAGATGAGATCATTCCCACTCACAGATGAGATCATTCCCTGTCACAGATGAGATCATTCCCACTCACAGATGAGATCATTCCCACTCACAGATGAGATCATTCCCTGTCACAGATGAGATCATTCCCTGTCACAGATGAGATCATTCCCTGTCCCAGATGAGATTCCCTGTCACAGATGAGATCATTCCCTGTCACAGATGAGATCATTCCCTGTCACAGATGAGGTCATGCCACTCACACCTGAGGTCATCCCCACTCACACCTGAGGTCATCCCCACTCACACCTGAGGTCATCCCCACTCACACCTGAGGTCATGCCACTCACACCTGAGGTCATGCCACTCACACCTGAGGTCATGCCACTCACACCTGAGGTCATGCCACTCACACCTGAGGTCATGCCACTCACACCTGAGGTCATGCCACTCACACCTGAGGTCATTCCACTCACACCTGAGGTCATTCCACTCACACTTGAGGTCATTCCACTCACACCTGAGGTCATTCCCACTCACACCTGAGGTCATTCCCACCCACACCTGAGGTCATTCCCACCAACACCTGAGGTCATTCCCACAAACACCTGAGGTCATTCCCACCCACAGATGAGGTCATTCCACTCACAGATGAGGTCATTTTACTCACAGATGAGGTCATTCCACTCACAGATGAGGTCATTCCACTCACACCTGAGGTCATTCCCACCCACAGATGAGGTCATTCCCACCCACAGATGAGGTCATTCCCACCCACAGATGAGGTCATTCCCACCCACAGATGAGGTCATTCCCACTCACACCTGAGGTCATTCCTACTCACACCTGAGGTCATTCCCACTCACACCTGAGGTGATTCCTACTCACACCTGAGGTCATTCCTACTCACACCTGAGGTCATTCCACTCACAGATGAGGTCATTTCACTCACACCTGAGGTCATTCCTACTCACACCTGAGGTCATTCCTACTCACACCTGAGGTCATTCCACTCACAGATGAGGTCATTCCACTCACAGATGAGGTCATTCCACTCACAGATGAGGTCATTCCACTCACATGAGTTCATTCCACTCACAGATGAAGTCATTTCCCCCTCATACCTGAGATCAGCATCACACCTGAACATAAGATATTCACACCTCTGAACATCTTAGGTTCAGAGATGCTACGAGACCTCCAAGACAAACTGATATAGTAAGAGATTGGAAAGAAGGTCAGGTTAGGTCTGGCATTACAGGTCAGGTCAGCTGTTGAGTCTATAGACGAGCTCAAGCAGCGGGTTTTGGTGGATAAGTTCTTTAATATGGTACAGCCAGAGGTGACCGGGTTCAATCCCCTGAGGTGCCGTTTAACGTGATGCCTTTGTTTACCTAATAGTAAAAAGGTACCCAGAGTTAGCCAGCTGTTGTGGTTTGCCTAATGGGGAAGTTTAGAAGTTAGCCTAGGATCTACGGGGGACCTCAGTAATCCTAATTACAGGCTTAATGTTCACGGGAACAAAAGTTAAGTCCAGTGTCCAGTTCAGGTCCAGTGAAAGAACTGACTTAATAAATACACCACCTCCTCCCACTCTCTCCAAAACCAGAGTCACAACTCCCTCCCCCATACACAAACAACCCCATTCTACCTACGACCATCGTAACCCCATTCTACCTACGACCATCGTAACCCCATTCTACCTACGACCATCGTAACCCCATTCTACCTACGACCATCGTAACCCCCTCCTCTCTCCTCCCTACGACAAGTAAACCACTATAGTTCACCGACACAGAAAAAAAGCTTTGCAGAATAACCTAAAAAAAAACATTCTCAGCGCACTACATCCAGGCGTGGGAGCTAGTCATTTATATCAGCGATTAACACAAACAAACATGTCTGATTTAATAATGCAACTTTATTCCGGCGTGCAAAGCGCGGGGTGACAGCTTGCAACAAGGCCGAGCTGTGCCTTGTTGCAAGCCAAACCTTCACTTAAAAAAATGCAACATTTGAAACACTGAAGCGGGACCGCAACGCTTAACTTTGCACGCTAAGCAACGCAACACAACGATCGTTGGAGTTAAATAATTCCTGTCGCCAGGGAGAGGAATTAGTTTGTAATAGTTGGAGGTACAGTACGCGGCTTGGCTAAGCTGGGGTCGAAGGTTCGAGCTAACCTCACAGCCCTGGTGGATTTTCTCATATACTAATGTTTATTGAAGTCCCTCCCCCCCCCCCACCCCTTACCGGGGGGGGAGCCAACTACGGGCCATTCTCAGGATGCAATACACAACAGTTGCCTAATTCCGGAATATCTATTTTTACTACTAGGTGAAAAGATGCATCAGGTGCAAGGAAACGTGCTCAACCGTTCCTGTTCTGTCTGGGGATCAAACACAGGATCTTGGATTTTGCGTCGAGGACGTTGATACAGTCTTTCTGCATCAAAGAATAGTGACGTTGAGGAGGGGGGTTTTGTAAGGGGGGTGAGAGGGGAGGTGTTCGAAGTGGGTGGGGTAGACGGAGCACTCTTGGCACCCAGTGTGGCAACACCTCTAGGAGAAACGCTTCGAACAATATCCATTGATCATGTGCTTCACTTCGATAATCAGAGATCCAAACTCGGCCCTCTGGAAAACTCGGCCGTCTCAATAACCACCAAGCACCCTGGTCTGATTGCTACAGGGACAGACTTTACAATTCAGAGATCCGAGTTCGATTCCACAATAACCTCCCCCCCAAGTGAATTAAATTGTCTTTCACGACGATGATACACTTGCATACATGAGACGTGTATCCCGGAGAGTCAAAGAAATGTTTTTTTGGGAAACGCTTCTTGGTAGCTAAACTAGATTTTGTTAATGCATTAATGTTTATAGATAGTGATTACTTCTAGCAGGGTTCGATACCCGTGGGGAAGGCAAGGTATGTATCAGAAGCGTTTGGGGTAATGCAGACGAGGAGTCACAATAACGTGGCTGAAAAACGTTGATCAGACCACACACTAGAAAGTGAAGAGACGACGACGTTTCGGTCCATCCTGGACCAATATCAAAATCGACTTGATAATGGTCTAGGACGGACCGAAACGTCGTCGTCTCTTCGCTTTCTAGTGTGTGGTTTGGTCATCGTTTAATGTTTCCCTTTACCTAACGCCTCTGTTCACCTATCAGTAAATAGGTACCCGCAAGCAAGAGGAATATTGTGGGTTTCAACCTGCGGAAGACTGAAATCTTCAGTCAACCTTCCAGAGTTGGCCGAAGGGATCCCTCCGGACTGTACCAGGGTATTGGTATGATTACTTTCCTGTGAATTATTGTTACTTGACAGATCCGAACCTCACATTCCCCCAGCTCACGTCTCTTTGAGCCGAGGAGCGGCAGTATGCAGCAGTCTTGGCTCCAGCACTTAAGGATATTACTAGGTCTTGACTCTCCAGCGGAGAGATAAAATATACAGACGAGGAGTCACAATAACGTGGCTGAAATATGTTGACCAAACCACACACTAGAAAGTGAAGAGACGACGATGTTTCTACCTTCTCAAGTCGACACAATCGACTTGAGAATGGTCCAGGACGGACCGAAACGTCGTCGTCCCTTCACTTTCTAGTGTGTGATCTAGTGTGTGAATTGTAATTCCTTGACCTCCACAAGCAATACACAAAGAGGCCAGAATGATGTTGTTAATCGGTAATACTGTTCCCTATGGCCGATTTCTGATGCAAGATTTAAATAAATATCCTCGTGCCTTTCTTGTAAATGAGATGGAATCATTTACAGGAAAGATTCATCCTTTTCCTTTCATCCTTTTCAAGAACGATCACATTAGGCAGAATTGAGCAGGAACTGCGTGAACAAGAATGCACACATTAAGGAATTTCGACGCAAGTGAACCACATTTCAGATCTTAAATACCCTTACATGTCAAGGAAAAGTCTGATTCTTCTTTCACTGAAGGATAGGGAACTCATTCCTCACTGGAGGATGAATTCATAAAAATATCTTCGACAGTACTCTAAAAATTTATCACATTCCCTAAGTCTAGCCATTAAAGCTAATCAGTGGGAATGTTAACTTTAAAGACAAATAAATATACAGCAAATCTACAGGAAATCATAAGAAATATGAGGGTAATTGAAGATTTTGATGCTTTAAAGCAGGAATCATAATTTTTAATGGAAAATTGTTCTTTTTGTATTCGCTTAAATCACGTGTCGAATTCCAGCATCCTATCGCGGGAACATTTCTGAAGAGTTATGTACATTATGTTCCTGAAGGAGATATGAGACAGACTAAAAGCCGAGATATGAGGCTAGACAAAGTAGTTGCATACTTTGATAGACAAACTGTCCTCATGCACAGAACGTCGCTTTTCGCTCGTATGTGTTACCTAAGGCCAAAAATTGTCGTACTAGAAAATGGAAGTGACATACTGATCCATTTTCTCTTTTGGGTCCTCTGGTAGGTTAGGAGCGGACACTTTAAATTTGTGGGAAAATCCTGGGAGCTATTGTCCTTTTTTAAATTGACTTTAATAAGATAATTTTTCAAGTGAGTAAGTAATTAAGTGAGTGAACTGTATGTACTTGATTCAACTGCCTGAAATTATCTCCTACCTACCTTGAGGCTACCTTGAGGTGCTTCCGGGGCTTAGTGTCCCCGCGGCCCGGTCGTCGACCAGGCCTCCAAATAATCTCGCATAATTTGGGGGGACAATTTGCAACTTAAACCACTTTGAGATTGCTCCTTCTTAAACCAGAAATTGTTTACCTTATATAATTATATCATACCACATATGGTGGTCTAATCTACTATTATTATGGCAATGATTAATTAATAATGAGTACCACTTCTACAATATAGAACAAAAAAGGGGCTTAGCTGTTCCTGTAGAAAGGGCCTGCTAAGGCTGTGTAATTGTTGCATCAAAGATGGGTGTGGCCCTGTGCCTCTGAGTGCCACGTAATGGTGGCTGATGGCGGCTGTTCAGGAGGCCTACAAGACTTGGCGTACAGCTAGGAAATATTTTTGTAAGGCCCAACTGTCTGCTCGGCTTCTTGTTACTCCAATTCACAATTACCTGCCGAGTACAAAGAATTAATGTTTCTCTAAACATATAATTACAGGTATGACATGAAATATAAGGGTGTTGTGTAAACGTACTTTTGTTGGGGGGTTCTTCATGCAAATAACCTGGGGCCAGATTCACGAAAGCACTTACGCAAGCACTTACGAACGTGTACATCTTTCCTCAATCTTTCACGACTTTGGTTACATTTATTAAACAGTTTACAAGCCTGAAAACTTGCCACTCAACTGTTGTTATTGTTATAAACAGCCTCCTGGTGCTTCCGAGCTCATTAACTGTTTAATAATTGTAAACAAAGCCGCCAAAGATTGAGAAAAGATGTACAGGTTCGTAAGTGCTTGCGTAAGTCCTTTCGTGAATCTGGCCCCTGCTACCTATCTGTACTAAAAGGATGCATCTATTTAAAACAGAATACTGACAGTCGGATACTTAATTTGCTGTAGTTGTTGAGAGGCTGTGTTGGTGGTTGTTGACATGTAATCTGGGTGTCTAACGATTAATCACCTTTATGGAGCTCTCTACAGCGTGTTGTTGTTGATGTACAGAGTGTAAGAGATGTGGCTCCCTCGAATGTTTTGGTGGTTCCACTTCTAAACTTAATTTTACAGTAAAGAGGGAGTCAAGCTATATTTTGGTGTTAGTAATTATATTCAGTACTAGTGAACACTTTTTATTAAATTTAAACACTAGACTGTTGTATAAACAGAATTAGGATAATGTAAATATACGGCGTCGATGACGTCACGGAATCACCCATTCTCTATTTTTTAAGGGGATACTATGTTATTGTGTGTATCAGATTTTTCCGACAAAATTGACCGTTTTCTTAACGTTGGCTTAGGAGGACCGGCTGGATAGACTAAGAGCTTATATATAATAACTAACGAACATTGATATTTGAACAAAGAGTTGAGATACAAGGACAGTAAAAAAAACTTTGACTAAAAATAATTTTAGGCTAAACTTTTACTAAAAATAATTAGGAAAATGAAAAAAGTACCTAACTAAAATTTAAGGACGTATCAAGGCTTACACTGAGTGATGGACCATATAAATAAAATAACAGGAAAGTGATAACGATTAAAAAAACACAAAAGCCTTTTTTTATTTTATTAAATGTGTAACCATGACTAGCCAAATGTCCCCACACGTTCAACGAGACAGAAATATAAATGATATATTTTTGAACGCCGCCATTGACGCTTGTTTCAGTGCGTTTATCAGTTGTTTGTTTACACATTGGGAAAAATTGGACTCGTGTCAGACAAAAAAATTGTTTGTCATCAACTGTGAATATGAGATGCGAGGCGCTCTGGTGTTTGTGAAGGCTTTGTGGGTTGTGTTTTGAGTGTGTGTGTGTGTGTGTGTGTGTGTGTGTGTGTGTGTGTGTGTGTGTGTGTGTGTGTGTGTGTGTGTGTGTGCGCGCGCGCGCGCGCGTAAATTCAGAATACAGATCTCTCTCTCGTTCTTTCCACTTACGCACACTCAGCACTCTAGATGCAGAAAGAGAGAGAGAGAGAGAGAGAGAGAGAGAGAGAGAGAGAGAGAGAGAGAGAGAGAGAGAGAGAGAGAGAGAGAGAGAGAGGGGGGGGGGACCGAATTAAAACACAGAGGTACGGGGTCAGGCTGGGTCACTCAGGAAGGGTAAACACACTCAAGTTGACCTTGACCTCTTCTTGGGAAGGATCACAGGTCAGTGCTCAAGCATTACCTTAGTGAAGAATCCTTGACCTCTGCGATGAACAACAGGGCTGTGCTTCTAGCCATTTGCAATATAACTATCCATAATAATGATTTACCATCTAGTTAATGCCACACCAAAACACACCAGAGAAGATGAGGAGACGACAACGTTTCGGTTCGTCCTGGACCATTATCGAGTCGTATAATGGTCCAGGGCGGACCGAAACGTCGCCGTCGTTCTCAGAGTCTGATGTGAGGTTCGGTCACACCCTAATACCAGTTTTCGTGTGTGTGTGTGTGTGTGTGTGATATCTCCAATACCCAGACGGATTGGGTGTTAGCCAGTGATATTTCTCTCTCTCTCTCTCTCTCTCTCTCTCTCCCCTCCCCCATAAGACTGGCCCGCCACATAACACTGTGAATGACGGAAGTGTTATTAATATCATGACAATGTTGGCTGCTCCGGGTTGGCGGAGGCAATATGCTTGGTTTTATATTGAGAGTGTTGGTTGGGTCCGGGTGTCCAGAGTTGATATGAAACTGGTCAGTCTGTCTGTCCGTCTGCCGATATGGTAGCCAGTACCGGGTTGGGTGGAAACAGCGGTGATGGACCAGAGAGAGAGAGAGAGAGAGAGAGAGAGAGAGAGAGAGAGAGAGAGAGAGAGAGAGAGAGAGAGAGAGAGAGAGAGAGAGAGAGAGAGAGACAGACAGACAGAGAGACAGACAGACAGACAGACAGACAGACAGACAGACAGACAGACAGACAGAGACACACAGACATATTGATGAAAAAGCCTAGATGACGTATGCTAGCGTATACATACCTAAATATTCTAAACTTCTAAAGGGTATTCTGGCTTCATACTTACCTCAAAAGTATATTGGTGAAATGGGTGGTATGAGAGGAATGCAGAACAGAATATATATGGAACAGGATGGATTCTGGAAGGGGAAATTGACGGGTGATTCATGGAACTGTTGTGAGATGCTGACTTTGTTGGGTTTGCTGGTCCGTAGTTCATATATATATATTGGTGTCTGACAGTTGAGAGGAATGGTGTTTTTTCCAGGTTTTTCCTTGGATTTTTGTTTTTTTCCGTGTGTGGTTGCGCTGCCTCAAGTGTGTTTGGTTGTGGTTGAGTTGTTGTTTCTTGTTTAAGATTCACTACCCAGAACAAAAAGTTCCAAGTAGCACGGGGTATGGTGAGGTTATCTTGAGGTTATCTTGAGATGATTTCGGGGCTTTAGTGTCCTCGCGGCCCGGTCCCCGACCAGGCCTCCACCCCCAGGAAGCAGCCCGTGACAGCTGACTAACATCCAGGTACCTATTTTACTGCTAGGTAACAGAGGCATCAGGGTGAAAGAAACTCTGCCCATTGTTTCTCGCCGGCGCCGGGAATCGAACCCGAGACCACAGGATCACGCGACCAGCGTGCTGTCCAGTCAGCCACCCACCGGCCCCTGTGTGTGTGTGTGTGTGTGTGTGTGTGTGTGTGTGTGTGTGTGTGTGTGTGTGTGTGTGTACGTATGAGTACTCACCTAGTTGTGCTTGCGGGGGTTGAGCTCTGGCTCCTTGGCCTCGCCTCAGAGCGCGTGTTTGCGCGTGCGTGTGCGCGGTACAATACCCATCATGCTGTATCCTTCGACTTAATGACCGACGACGGTAATTGCCTCTAAGATCAAACTGTTGACGGCGAGTTAACTTTCATCCCCCCTTATGGGAGCCCAGAATCTCTCACATGGAGAGAGGGATTTGCATAATAGCGAAACCTAGAAGTGAAACCAAATTCTCGTGCTAATTTGAAGTCTATGTTTGGTCTGGCTTTTGCTGGGTATTGCATAAACGATGGTGGTACCATTGCTACTGTTGCAAGTACTGTTGCTGGTATTGTTTGTAGCGATGATGCTGGTACTCCCATTGCTGCTTCCACCAGCTTCTGCTACTGCTACTGGCAGTGCTACTGCTGAAGTTACAGCTATGTTTACTGCTGCTGTTGATGTTGCAACTGCTACTTCAGCAAGGCTGCAAATGCACCTCTTTCACCTGCAAGCTAAGCTTGCAATGACAGTGGATAATATATAAGTTTTAGAAAGGTCTGTATTACGTATGTGGCGGGTGTTTGTTTGTGTGTGTTTTTGTTTTTAAAATATTACAATTATCGTACGACAGGTTACTGAAGAGGGGATGGAGAGATAAGTACTAAAACATAACAATAAAAATAATAATAAATGGAGAGAGAGAGAGAGAGAGAGAGAGAGAGAGAGAGAGAGAGAGAGAGAGAGAGAGAGAGAGAGAGAGAGAGAGGAAATGCTTGCCTAATTGGGAGAGTAGAAATATTTTGGAAAGAAATGCAATTATTACCTTCCAGAGTAATGCCTACACAGGCAACCAGGCTGTTGTGAACGATGTTGGTATTATCATTACAAGTACTTAACCATGCTGTAATTAATTAATACATGGTAATTAAGGTGTTACATCCTTGACTTCACCTCAGACGGAGGCCTAATTTCTCTTGGGTTTAATTAATCTGCATTTCTCTAGGGCACTTAATTAAATGCATTCAATTATAAGGGAGCTCAAATGCCTTAAACAAAATGACCATTTTAAGTTGAATCGTTTATGTGTATCATAGATTTATATAAATTAATAATAATTTGAATTTATACTTTTATTTTGCAAATTAACTACAGTGCTTTTTACGTTTGTAGATATTTAACAAAATTAACTATTCACTTCTCACTGGAAACTGCTGTCTCAAGATAGTTCATTAACACCCTTGTGGATTTAATTGGATTGTTTGTCTCACCTAAGCGGTTACCTTGAGAGTATCAGGCGGTTGATTCCAGAGGTGCTAGTACTCCCGACTAGTACTATTATTTACACATGCAGGCGATGAGTCACAATAACGTGGCTGAAGTATGTTGACCAGGCCACACACTAGAAAGTGAAGGGACGACGACGTTTCTGTCATGATCACCACCTACAAAATCTCTCAAGTGTGCACAAACAAGGAGACCCAAATCAAAACTACATACCCGAAAGAGCCGATTGATTGATGAAAATTAAGCCACCCAAGAGGTGGCACGGGCATGAATAACCCGTAATTGGAAGATTTTGTATTTTCTGAGTGAAAGGGGATCTTTGAGTGAGCTACATAGACATTGCTAATATATACTCACAACTTCAGTGACGTGGGCAAATGGGAGACGATAAGAAGTGAAGATTGAGACTCTCAGCTCACGGGAGACATCTCCCGTCACGCAGGGTGTAGTTGCACCTCCACAGATCTCCAGTATCAGCTTTTGAT